GTGTTGGCCTTTTCTGTAATGTCGCTCAGTGACGCTGCGCTTCTCTCATGATTGTGATTGGTTCACTGCGTGCGCGTTCACGGCTTTTTATAAAGCAACCCTGGGTTGATTTACCAAAGTGATATCCAGTGTCGTGATACCGATTATCCTGATTGCCACTGTTAGGGTTAGTCAACCCAGGATAGGTCTGGGTAACCCAGGAAAGGTTGATCTCGCTTCGTGATACAGGCCCCAGGATTAGAGAGATGGCAATGTGTGTTACATTAGAAAAGCTCACCTATGTAATTAGGAGTAAAGCGCATGAATTTGAAGAGGTGTGGGAACCTTTAATGGACTTTCTCAAGCAACAATAGATTATACTTATTTGTAAGGTTATTGAGTGTGACACCTTTTTTTTTTATTATTTATTTTTATTTATTTGTTTTGTGTGTGTGTGTATGCAGCGAGGTCAGTTTGCATCTCCCTGTGCAATTAGTGTGGTATGTGTTGATGTGTTTTGTATGTTCCTATTGAAAATCAATAAAAAACATTGTTCAAAAAAAGTGTGGTATAAAATGGTTGGACACCCTGATGGAGAAGGCTGCTCTGGAGGTGATTCATAGTGCATGTTTGTGTGTGTTGATGGGTCAGCACAAGTTCAAGGAGGAGAGAGGACAGGAACTGCCAGTACAACTGCTTGTAGCCCACAAAGAAGAGAGGACAATCAGCACCCTGGGATATGACACAGACGTATGTTTTACCAAGCTGAAAATCCTCCGGCCCTGTGTGGTATCTGGCCCCACTCTCATAAGGACACTGCTCAGTGCTTTCTTTTTCCCCTGCAGGGAGTGATGTGATGTAACAGCATCAGTGAAGCGCAGAGGCCAGATAGATGCCAACTCTGCGAGGGGTTTCCTCCATACCCCTACAACAGCGATCGAATTTTATCATCTACTTTCTACTTTTTTCTTCTCCCTGGCTCCACTGCTCTGTACAATAAAAGCTCTTTTCCTGTGGGTAAATGGTACCCAGGAGGGTATCTCTAACTCTTACACTCTCTTCTGCACAACTTTAAATCCATCCTCCAGGGATGTTAATGTACTGCATCTGCAGATTCATAAACATGCACTGCACGGTCCTGAAGTGTAAGCACTGCTGCATGTATGCTTCCAGCATCAATTATTAACACAGTGCATTTGTGTTTCTGCAGTTATTTCTACATAACAACGCAAGGAACAAAGTCTAGCAGGACAGAACACATACTGGACATTTTAATAGACATATGGTGCATGGGAAAACTACAACAAAACATCAGATTAAGGTTGGGTGATAATACGGTAATAAGGTATCCCGTGGTATCTAAAAATAGCAATGGTATCAGTTTCATTACCGTCATTAAAAAAATCTGCTGCACATATAGGCCTATAGAGGCCTGATATAATATTAATTATAATATATTTAATGCATAAATAATTAGTGTTTGTCCAGCACCTATGTAAGTGTGGTTGAGTTTTCAATTTAATACTATTACAATTTAAAACTAATAGTAGGCTATATGTTTCTCTTATATCTGCCGTGAACTGTTGTCAGATGACATTTGATAAAGTTTTTGGATGTGACGTCGTCACATGACAGCTCGGACGTGAGAAAGAGAAGAAAAGATGGCAAGCCGTGCATCAAGCAAGTTTGTCCCAAAAAGAAAAACACAACTTCACAACTTCTGCAAGCAGCAGCAGCAGCAGCAGGTCCAGTGACCATCAGAGTGAAGGAGGGAGAAGCGCAACCCGAACCAGCCAGCACCGTGACCAAAGTTGTCAATCCACTACGTGCCCTGCTCCAGCCGGAAAAAAGTACTAAACATGCTGGTTTTTCTGGTGAAAAACTTTAAATAGTTTTGAAGCACAGGATGCTGCTATAGTTATCATTATGCTTTGTTTTTATTTCATTTTCAATGAGGAGTAGCCTGTTCTCAACCTGATCGCACAGAAATACGTGAAATGACCACGACCTCTTAACACCGCATTCCGTGGTGGCAGCACGTAATGGGTTGAAATTACGTGCTGCCACCACGGAATGCGGTGTTAATAGGTCATGGTCATTTCACGTATTTCTGTGAGATCAGGTTGCCTCTTCTGTGGACAAAACAGTTCGGACTTGGCGATTAAAAGGCGATTAAACTGATCTCCCGTGTAAACCCTCATTCGGAATGAATATTTCCCATGTAAAATACCTGGAACTCCAAATGATTTCATTCAGATTTATTTCATTCCGAATGAGAAGCCATCACGTAACTGCACCCAATATCAAACACAAGAACACAATGTCACACACTTGTCTTTTGCTAGACACATTTTCCCCACAAAGACAACATGCCAATTAGCATAAGCAGTAACACTGATATTAAGGTACTGTAATAAGCGTTAATTAATGCTTAATAAGCACCAGTTAACCAGTCAGAGCACTTGTCGTCGCTTTTGTCACTCGAATAATTTCAATAAAAACTTATGAACAGCAAAAATACAGTGGCTTTTACTGCACCTGATCTGGCTCCACACGAGCGCGCATGCACACACACGGAACTCAACTCACTGCATGACAGTCACGCTGGATGCCACTCGCCAGCTAACGTTATGCTCTCCACTCCTCATCACAGCACAGAACCTGGCAATGCTGAGATGGTTGAAACAACTGATGCAAGCCCCTCCAGTGCCGCTCCAGCTGGAGTAGGATGCGACACTTGGCTTCAGGACTCTGAAGTCGATGTTTCATCTGTTTCTGCCCCTGTGGTAAGTTAGTTTGTTAAAGTAGGCTATAGGCTAACGTTAGTTGATTTTTAGCTACTTCTAGTTCTTTGCGATAGCTAACACTAGCAACTCAGCTAATCATGTACATGATGGCCTTACAAAGTTATAAAATGTGACTGTGTGTCATAAATTTTGATGTTTATGATAATGTCGGTAGCGTTACAGGTTATCAGAAGAGGTGTACTCGGTTCATTCAGTCAGTAATAATTAGGCTAGCAACTTTAGCTACAGAGATGAAGGTCATGCTTGAACTAGCAGCCAGTCATGTGTCTAAATTTCCTGAGTAATTTTAAGCTGAGTATAATGAACACCCAGATACTAGTAGTATGTTTTAGCAGAACCTTAGTGTGTAACTGTGACACTCAGAGACATTGACTTTGACCATGATTAAGAGAGTCTGTGTGTGTGTGTGTGTGTGTGTGTATGTGTGTCGCGGCTCGTGTAGGGTGCCACTAGAAATAGCTTCGGTAGCTAAGTGCATCGCTAATGACGTTCTGTGTGAGTTAAAGTGAGTGAAATGTGTGTGAAGATGCACATGGTTGAGATACAAGAGTGACAGTAAATGTGTGAAGCAGGATGAGCAGAGTGAATGTGTTACGCTGGACACTGGATGCATGCACTGGATGCATGTCCGTTGTGGAAAGGCAGTGCTGGTTATCCGTTGCGTGCTCCGCCGTCCGTCTATACCCACCGGCTGCGTTTGCTGTGCGGAACGGTGCAGCTCCGCTGGAAGACATTTCGGTGCACTGCCATGATTAATATCTCCTCGTCCATGGTGTCAACGGGGTGAAATGATGTCTGAAAACCTCTGACCTGTTGACTTCAGGCCTGCCTCTGCCCATTATGTAGTTTTCAATGTGTAGTACAGGGAAATATTATCCGCCATGAACACTGTGTATTTTATTTTGAAAATTAACCGGATGTTTTATTTTATTTCTGTGCACGACTTCCTGCCCCGCACGATCTGCTCTGTGCTGAATTGCTGCGTTGTGCTCCGGCATCGAGTAGCATCCAGCTGCAGCCCCGGAGCAGAAGCCCCTGACGTGACACAAGCCTCTGGCTTGCCGGAAGTGCCCCTGGCATGACGGAAGTGACTTGTTTTGCTGGATATAATTGTCGCGGTCTTTGTTTGGAACTGAGCTCGCAGGACACAGCATCTCAACGCAGTAGGTTTCAGGTAAGCTAACTGGAATAAATTGGCAGAAAATAGCGATGTTGTTTATTCTGTGACCATTAGAAGAGGTCCCTGGTGAGTGGCGAGGGCAGGGCTCGAGACTTGGGATCCACTCACCAATGGTCCCGCCCGGGCCTGACCTCCGCGGCCCACCAGCCTGGAGGTCGGGCGGGCCGACACTGCATATGCCAGAACGGGTGCTCGAGTGTGGGTGAGGGGAGCGGAGAGGAGCGCGGAGGTCAGGCCAGGCGGGCTGACACTATGTATCCCAGAACGGGTGCTCAAGTGTGGGTGAGGGGAGCGAAGAGGACCGCGGAGGTCAGGTCGTTACAACACAAAATGAATTAATTAATTACATTTCAATCTGGCCAAAAGACAGCTGAAATGCTAAACAAAAATAAAAATACAGTGGTGAAGTTGGGATTTGTTTCTTGAAGTTATGTGCTCATTGTCTTTTCTGTCTCTTACAGGCTGCCAGGAGAAGCGGACTGGCCATCAGATATTGTTTGTGGAAATTTGAAAATAAAGTTTGTCAAACTGACTTTTGTCTCTTCATTGTGCACACTTACACACGAAATAGGGTAACAGTCAGCTATTTTTGAATGTTAGCATTGATTTCTCACATTGAATGGTGAAATATTTGTAGTTTGAAAGGCCCAACCTAAATGAATAAAGGTCGTAGTTAACGAAGCATATGAATATTAATATAGAAGGAGCGCCCACTGAGCGCAGCTTCTTTTATTGATGGTTTGAACGTTGCGTGGTGGTCAAAAACAAACAACAAAAAACAAAGTTGACTTGTATGATTAAATAAAGGTAAAATAAATGGACAATTCATCAATTCATAGACGCTATGTTAAGCAATTTTACTTAAAAAAGTTGTTAAAAAAAGAGAAAAGTATTTCTGTCATGCCAGGGGCACTTCCGGCAAGCCGGAGGCTTTTGTCACGTCAGGGGCTTCTGCTCCGGGGCTGCAGCTGGATTCTATTGCCAGCGTCCAGCAAAAATAGAAGTTGTGCCGCAGCTGAGACGGAGCCAGAATGCAGCACAGCCGCAGCTGGTGGAAACACACACATTGACTAGAATTGAATCCTATCGGCTTCGCTGTGGTGCCGGAGCGCAGATGCAACCAACATGCATCTGGTGGAAATTGGGGGTAAGGAGCATCGATGAGCTGTGTGTTATGTTGTACAGGCTAATGGATATAGGCTGCGTCATGTCCATGCTAACTCCTGCTGATTTGATTACGCTATAGCCTGACCTCATTCCTCTCTGTCAGTAAGATTAAAGTAGCATTTCATACATTTTGGCAATTGAAGTTTGTATCAGGCCCAGTGTGTGAGTGTTTTATTTCTTGTGAAACTATTGTGAGAGTATTTCATTTTTAGGCTGTGGATTAAAAACAAGGGAAGTTAGATTAAATGTGTTTATGGGTTTAATTCTGAGCCTTCTCTTTCAGAGTGTCAGGATTTAAGGAGGTCACTTGGGGGTATCGCAGGGTTCGGTGATTGGTCCAAAATTATTTTTACTTTATATCAGTGACATTTGTAAGGTTACAGATCTATTAAAATTTCTAATTTTTGCATATGACACAAATTTATTTTGCTCTGGAAAACATTTAAAGGAGCTTTTGTTTGCTGTAGAGAGGGAACTTGAGATTTTAAAATGTTGGTTTGATGTAAATAAATTGTCGCTTAATATAAAGAAAACTAAATTTATAGTTTTTGTAAATAGAACAAAAAGAAATGGGGACATTGAGTTAAAGATTTGTAATGATAAAATTGAAAGAGTTTTTGAGACTAAGTTCCTCGGGGTAGTGATAGATGATAAATTAACATGGAGACAACATATTGATTATATAAAAAGTAAAATATCAAAATCAATAGCAATCCTATATAAATCTAAGGATATACTAAATTATAAATGCTTGTATATTATTTATTGTTCACTTATACTTCCATATATGTCGTACTGTGTAGAACTGTGGGGATCAACTTTTAAAACAGCTATCAACTCAATAATTGTGTTACAAAAACGAGCTATTCGTCTTATCAATAAGGCTGGTTATTATGATCATACAAATCCATTGTTCATGAAGTCACATGTTTTGAAATTCAGTGATTTGGTTTATTTTAAAATAATGCAAATAATGTACAGAGTAAAAACAAAGTCACTGCCGGATACAGTACAAAGATTCTTTTCTGTGTGGGAGGGGAAATATGGTTTAAGAGATGTTTCTAAGTTTACTGTCCCAAAAGCTAAGAAGGGAATTAAAAGAAGATGTATTTCTGTTGTTGGGGTTAGATTTTGGAATGATTTAAATTTAAATTGACTTAAATTTACGAATGTGTAACTCATTGTTGATTTTTAAACAAATGGTTGTTAAGGCTTTTTGAGAGTTATAAACTGGAAGAGTTTTTTTTTCTTTTTTCTTATAAATGATGTTTGATGGGTAGCTTAATTTAGGATTTATGTAGGGTAGGCAAATATAAGCATTATGCTTCAGCCTATACCTTTTCAGTCATTACCATCATATATTAATTAGCATTTTTTGTGTGTTACCTAGAATGTTTATATTTATGATTATTATTGTTGTTGTTGTGAAAATCTGTGTATGTTCCTATGTTGTATGTGATGATGATGACTGAATAAAACATACTACTACTACTACTACTAGGGATGGGCTGACATTGCAGATGGTGTCAGATGGACTGCAGAAGACGACCCTGGCTCTTGTAGCCATGCAGGTAAACAAAATAAACTCCCTAGAGAGGAATTAATATGCTACGGTGTATGTTTAGCAATCGTGACAGTAAAAGTTTTTTTCTTCTGTATTTCAGACAGTCCCAGGTCAGCATCTGAAGTAGTTCCTGGATGAAGTGCGACCTTTTCCCGAAGACACCTTCTCTGGTGTAAAACTCAACAGGAAACAAGTGGATGATGATGATCCACAAAGTGAAAGATAGACTAATCAATGGCTTCTGTGACAACCTCACCACGCAGTTTGGCAATCTTGATACGGGCGTCTTGAAGGCCGCTGACACCATTTTTGACCTAAGCAACTGGCCTGAAGACATCACTGACCTGGCCACCTTTGGCCTGGCCGATATTGAGACTTTTGTCACTCACTTCCAGAAAACTGATGGGTTACAGGGAGCTTTGTGGAACACTGTATTCCCAAACAGTTAATCTAAGTAACAAAACTTTTGAAAAAGCCAAATTAACTCAAATCTGTCATTTTTTTAGAACGCAACTATTAGGGTTTCCAATCCTTTTTTCCTGTTTTTGAACATAGTGGTTGCATTAAAAATCAATATGAAAAGGAAATATGTCCTTATGTTGTGTTTTCACCACCACTGGTAAGCTGAATTCTCATCACGAGTGAATAAAGCAGCTAACTCTGAATCTCTCTGCTCAAATGTTTAAGTTCAAATAACTCATGTTTGTCTTAGTATGCCATTTTGAGGAAATGAGATTCCCATGATCGTTTGCTAAAAAAAAATAACATACTAGAGTGAAAAGAATGCATCAGAATTCTTTAATGTTGAAATAGTGACTGATATCTGGATGTTGCAATAGGTGCATAATTAACAGAATTATTAACTTCAGTGAGTGCATAATAAAGAGTTTATGAATGTCAACAAGACACTGTTCCCACTTTAGATCCAGTAGCTGCAAAGATGCATTATGAGCTGTTAATAAGTGCATATTAATAATTTATTAACCTTTATACGACACTGTTCCCACTTTAGATCCAGTAGCTGCAAAGATGCATTATGAGCTGTTAATAAGTGCATATTAATATTTTATTAACTTTTATACGACACTGTTCCCACTTTAGATCCGGTAGCTGCAAAGGATCATTATTTACTATTAATAAGTGCATAATTAAGCATTTATTAACCGTAGTATGGCATTTATATTAACTTCTTATAGTCTCATTAATGTTAATTACAAATACACCTGACCCTTTTTTCGACCCTTAACCACGACACCCTCCCGGTGGTGGGTCGGCAGTGGTGGCCAAGTCACTGCCCATCTCCTCCTCCTGGTTTCCAGCTTAACTCCTCTCTCCTGCACCATAACCAGCAAGAGGCTTTTTCTGCTGCCTCCCCCATCCTGCGAGCTGCTGTCTTTCTCTCCTTCCCTGTCATTCCAATGGCTGTGAGCATTCTCCAAATTGACTGGGCAGGGAAACCTCTACAGCCGACCTTGACCAGGAACAGCCATGACTGCCATCCTTTCCCCCTACAGTCATGCAGAAGGTCTTGGTATTTGGCGCTCTTCCTTTCAACGGCCTGTTCACACCCCTCTTCCCATGGGACTGTAAGTTCTATGAGGATGATCTTTTTTTTTTGCCTCTTCAGACCATAGTACCACATCTGGCCTCAGGGTTGTCTGGACAATCTGGGGGAACTGCAGTCTTCCTCCCAGGTCGACCTTCATTTCCCATGATTGGGCCTTTTGTAGCAGACTGGTTCTTGTTGTTGCTGTGGTTGGTGGCTTTTCCCCCTCCCTTACGAACTGGATTGATGTTGTTTTCCAAAGTGGTTGGAGTTTCTTCTTTCTCTCCTGCTCTTGGTGTTAGCAAGTGTCATGAGCACCTTGTCATGGCGCCACCTGTACCTTCCTTGGGTGAGTGCTGTTTTACACCCGGACAAGATGTGTGCCATGGTGCCCCTCTCTCCACAAAGCTTGCACAATGGCTCTTCTCTCATGCCCCACTTATGCAAGTTTGCTGGGGCTGGGAGTGTGTCATACACTGATCTCAGCAGGAAAGAGATGCGGAATGGCTCCAGTCTCCATAGGTCCGTCCAAGTGATCTTCCTCTCGGGGAGGTCCCATTTCGTCCAGGCTCCATGGGAAATTAGCTCCACTGCCCTTGACCTTTGTCCTTCTTCCTCTAGGTTCCGTACCTCCTCTTGAATCATGGCTCTTCTGTCACTGGTTCCTGCCTTCCTCCACTGTTGGAAATGGGAGGTTCCAAGACCCTGTCTTCCTGTGCATGGTGCTCCTATGATGTCACATAACTTCAGCATGCTCTCGGCTTGTGCAACAGATGAGTCAGCTGTCCACTTGCACCCTGATCTTGTGATGACGCCTGCATGTCTGACTTTTTCATCCTGGGAGTCTCTGTATGTCCTTACAACTCTGCACTTTGTCGTTCGTGGTTAAGAAATTCAAAGTTGCAGAGGAAGTTAGAGCTGCTCTGATCTTAAATAGAGGCCTACTGCAGTGAAGCTTGGAGGGATTCCCAACCACTTTCGGAGGTACTTATTGATCTTCCTCTCCACTCCTTCAACGCATGTCATCGGGACTTCATACACAGTCAGCAGCCACATGAGTCTTGGCAACAGTCCGTGTTGATAGAGCCATGCTTTAAACTTCCCCAGGAGCCCTGATTTTTCGATCCTCCTTAGCCATTCCTTTGTCTGGTTTTCTGTACTGGCGATGATGTTCCTGTCAGTCAGTGAGTCATCGAACCACTTTCCGAGGCACTTGATTGGATTCTCCTCTATCGATGGAATCACTTCCACTTGCACATGCAGCTTGAACCTGTTGGTCACTTTCCCTGTTCCTGATCACCATACTTCTGGATTTATTTGGCTTAAACTTCATTCTGGCCTAAATTGCCATGTGGTCCAGTATAGTTAGCACCCACCTCGCCTCTACATGGGTTGTGGTCGTCATGGTAAGGTCGTCCATGTAACCTCTAATTGGGGGTTGTCGGATGCCTGTCTCCATTTTTGGACCCCAGGCTTCCTTCTCCGCAGCTGTTATTAGGAGGTTCATTCCCATGACGAAGAGGATGGGGGAGACTGTGCAGCCAGTTACGATGCCCTTTTCTAGGCTTTGCCACTGAGTTGTAAAATGGGCTGTCTTGAATCGTAGCTGGATTCCGCCAAAGTAGCTGGTGATCATTCCCTTGATGTGCTGAGGGATGTGGTAGTGGTCTAATGCTGCATGGATGAGGGCGTGAGGGATTGAGGTTTCTTCTGCTGGCTTTGACCTCACGGATCATCTGACTGAGAACACTGGTGTGTTCCAGACATCCAGAGAAGCCTGGGATTCCTCCTTTCTGGATAGCGGTGTTAATGTATCCATTCTCTGTCATGTACGAGGTCATCCTCTTGGCCAGCACAGAAAAGAAGATTTTGTCTTCTACACTTAGCAGTGAGATTGTTCTGAATTGGTCAGTGGTTGAGGAGTTCTCTTCCTTTGGCACGAAACAGCCCTCTGCCTTCTTCCAGCATGATGGAATGGTACCCTTTCTCCAGATCCTCCGGAACAGCTTCCACAGCCTCCGAAGGAGTACTGGGCATTTCTTATATACCTTGTAAGGTATACCGCTTGGGCCGGGGGCAGATCCTGTTCTGGCCTTCTTCACCACCTCTTGGACTTCCTTCCAGGATGGTTCACTGATGTTGAACTCTTTTTCTGGAGTCTTTGTGCTGTTGATGCTTGGATTGGCATCCAGGGCCTGGTTTCTGTAGATGTCACTGTGGGTCTCCCTCCACATCTTCTCTGGGGCTGGTCAGCCTTCCAGATTTTGCTTCACCCAGCAGTGTTCTGGTGAATCGGAAGGGGTCTTTGGTGAACTGTGGTCGTTTGTTCTCCCTATCCTTCCTCTTCTTCCGAGTGCTTTCTGCTCTTCAGAGTCTGCAGAGGCATTCCCAGAGTTGACTCGTCAGGTCCTTGATGCCTTCCTTTTCATCAGCCTGGGCTCTTTCGAATTGCTTGGTGAGCATCTTGATTTCTCCCCTCAAATGAAGGATTTCCCTTTCTCTTCTGCTTGGCTGGTGTGCAGACTTTATGTTGACTTTCTTTTCCTCAACTCCAAAACGCTCCCTTGCCAGGTTGTAGGTTATTGTTGTGAGAGTATTGACTTTCTGCTCAACTGTCCTTGCTAGTGTGGCTAGCAGGGACAGTCTAGCATTTTGTCAATATAAATAAACACCTTATTAATTTCATCTTATAGGGTCTTATAGGGTCTTAGTGCCTTATAAACCAGTAATAAATGTGGTTATTATTCTATAATTAATCCTTATAAATTATAGTTAATGTAGATAGACATCTGCATATCACTGCATGGCACAGCACGGCAATGACGTGTGCATGACCAGCTCCCGTGTGCAGCTCTTGCAAGTTAAGTATTTGTCCAATTTTTAAACCTTTTTGGCATCTTTTTATACACTTTGTACAAGAAGCTTGTTCTATTAAAGCGTGTCCATTTACTGGATGAGAAATTTCAGTCATCGGACTTGTACTTTTAAAGACTTTGGAGGATAAGTTGAGCCATGACTGCTCCTCGCAGGCGCACACCAAACCACACCAGCGAAACGCTGCTTTTAAACAAAAATCTAACTTGTCTGTATTTTACACTGGTTTGTGTAAATGGGACTGCTGGACAAAGATTAGGAGAGACCTTGCTGGATTTTTCGGCTATTGCTAAAGTCTCTCCTGATTCATCTCGGTTGTATTTTTTTCACTTTTGTGACCGATTTACAAACTTTTCTGACATGTCAGCTGTGTGTGAGTCGTGCCTTCCTACCTTATCAAAGCTGAAGGATGACATCCCCATTGAGATCTGATCTGTGGTCAGATCTCAAAGAAAAGGACAAACTGCTCATGGACTTCTCTTCTGTCGCTTCATCTCAGGCAAAACATATATCACTCCTTAAGTCCGCCGGATGCAGTAACCGAAACACGTCCAACAACGACACCACTTTCAACACCGGCTCCGTTACTGCCGACCCCCCAGGTCCTGTGACGGTCTCAACACAACCTGAGACCTGTTGGTACCTCCAAGGTGAAAAGCCCAAGACCTCCACCCTCTGTCCGATCCAAACAGAGCCACGGCATCTCAGCGGCAATAATGAAATGGACGCAAACCGGACCCAGTGCCCTGGTCAGAGGTGACTGAAAGGCAACGGTGCTGTTTGCCGGTCCCTTCCTCTGTCATCCCTGGACTTGCAGCTGGCCAACAGGTTTGACGTCCTGAGTGTACAGGAATTCCCTCCTGTGGGTGCAAGCTCCCACTCTGCACCGGCTCCCATTCCTCCAACCAGTCGTGTTTTCCATCAGACAAATGGCAGGGGTTCCCGGCCTGGTACCCCCACTTCATCTGAATTTGAAGCGGATGGGGCCCAGCGACACAAGGGTCATCTACAGCAGGCACCATTGCGCCACCGACACACCTCCAGGAGGTCAGGTGTCCGTGCCCAAGTACAGCGCCCTCCCTCATT